GACATTGTCGATTGCATGTACCCTAACGCCATCCTAGGTCAGGGCGGTGCGGAGCTCGAGGGAGACATGAAGAAGGCTAAGAAGTTCAAGAAGAAGACCAAGGCGAATGATGAGTTCCATGTCGACTCCGTCCTTGCTCTGGCTGCAAACCGCCAACACCGCAATCTGCTCGCATCTGCCTCCGCTGATCGTACCGTAAAACTCTGGGACCTCAACACCACCAAGTGCGCCAAATCTTACACACATCATACGGACAAGGTGTGCTCGCTGGACTGGCACCCTAAGGAAGCCACCGTTCTGCTCACTGGTAGTTACGACCGTACCGTGGTGGCGGCAGATATGAGAGCTCCCGACGCCAAAGCACGGTGGGGAGTGGATGCCGACGTCGAGAATGTGCGCTGGGATATTCACGACCCGAACTTCTTCTATGTCACCACTGATGCCGGTATGGTCTACCGCTACGATGTGCGAAACATCCCTGCAACGCCAAAGGAATCAAAACCGGTCTGGACCCTGCAGGCGCACGACACCTCGGTGTCATCCTTTGACATCAATCCTGCCATTCCTGGCTTCCTCGTGACCGGGTCAACGGATAAGCAAGTCAAGCTATGGAACGTCGAGAATGACCGGCCTAGCATGGTCGTCTCGCGTAAGATGGACGTTGGTAAGGTGTTTTCGACCACCTTCGCTCCCGACAACGAGGTTGGCTTCCGGCTGGCGGTAGCTGGTAGCAAAGGAACCGTTCAGATCTGGGACACCTCCACCAACGGAGCCGTTCGTAGAGCTTTCGGGTCGCGCATGCCCGCCCTTGAGGGTGAGGTCAAAGAGCGCACTATCGGATTGCAAGCCGACGATGATGAATCGGATGATGATGCCGCGGGAGAGGAGGTTGGTGCTCAGCAAGGCGGAGATGGCTGGGAATCAATGGACGAGGACTAGAGGGTATGACAGGGATGGGAAATGCTATTTTGGAAGACAAAAGTTATACTATGGGTATTCGAGCTTGGAATGATTGCTTTTCTTATGTTGATACACCTCACACATTTGTTATTATAGCATATTCAAGATACCCGGTCGAATACATTGACCGATATGATTGTGACTCCGAAGCAAGCTACGGTTCTCGTAATACTTTCATAAGACTGCTGGTTCGGGTTTGAGGCAGCCAACACATAAAACATTTTGTACAATATACAATATCCAGAATATCTTTTTTTATGGTCAAAAATCGTGAAGACCGACATCTCTTATCCTCGATGGTCTAACGGTCATGATTTCCGCTTGTCACTCAATAGAGAACGAGCGCGGGAGACCAGGGTTCGACTCCCTGTCGGGGAGATATTTTTTTCTCCTGTCGCAAGGTTCTGGCTTGGACTGGTCTATCCATATCGCATTGCTGCCTTTTCCTTTTTTTATAGGGTTGAAGAGAGAAACATGCTAAGCGACATGATGGGCAGTAACCAATTGCCCTTGATGATCAACTTTGGCACCTGGCCAAGTCCCAGGTATACAGTCAAATCCCGTGGTTCTGCCACTATGTATAACAAACCGTTGTCTGAACGTGTCCCCAATATGAAGAATATCTTGCGCTACATGGAGCACTTGAGGTAGTCAAGATTCGAGGCATCCGAAAGCAGCATGTCATATTAGAATCTTGGAGGACACAGCGGAGAAACCCCCACACCTTACCCCCCCTATGGAGTATGAGACCGTGATATTCCCTTAGCAAGCATGACAAGCGGAAATCATGACCGTTAGACCATGAGTTTCGGACCATGATCTCATAGCGCTCTTCGCTTCTCCTGATCAGATATGGAAGTCGAATGCGACGTGACAAACGGGCATATCCTATAGAAAACAACAGCAAGAGCAATGTGTTTACTAGCCCAAGTCGACATCTGCATTGCGCTCATATGCCGCCACAAGCTTGTAATCAGATGTCTTAGTGCTGTAGAGGCACAAGTAATAGAAGACATATTGCATGAGGCCTTGAACTAGGCCATGAGCCCAGGTCGTGCGTGTTTCGCTATTGATGGAAGATCGCTCAACTACGGGCAACGAGGCCCTGACAGTGCCAGACAAGGATTTCACCTCTTGCAGTGCCGAACTCGAGGAAATATTCAGATCCGAATCCACTTCAGCTTGGAATAAGTGTCCAGGTCGAGGCACTTAATATTCTCGAACAAGGTTGCTTATCGAAGAAATGAAATGTACATATCGGGAACAATATAAAACTCGCCATAGCCGCCGGAGTGTAAAGCCACATAGCTCTCCATGATATGCATTCAGGATATCTCCTGAACGATATGGCCTCGAAGGCATAGCGTTTCGAGCGAAATTGGTCAGGCAAGAGAAAGGGGGTTGGATATTAAAAAACTGTGCATCTGAAAGAATAACAAAAAGTTTCTCCCCGACAGGGAGTCGAACCCTGGTCTCCCGCGCTCGTTCTCTATTGAGTGACAAGCGGAAATCATGACCGTTAGACCATCGAGGATATTTATTGAGCCTTTTTTTGAATATTTGACTTAATGAATTAATCGTCCCGTCTACGAGAGACTTGCGGCCGCCTGAGCTCAAACAAGCAAGCAACTCATATTTCGATTTGTTTGAACATTTCCGAGCTGGGGACTCGATGAAATCAGGTGCTCGGATCTCACAGTGGCATTGTTGAATTAAGGCTCGATGAATTGTTCAGCCCAATGTGTCAACGACATTCGAGCATACCATTATTAACAAACTGTAGTGATATATTCAGAAAGGACCCAAAGAGACCAAATAGGAAGACAGAGAGATGTGACGTTGAGATATGATACAGTTAAGGAACTTATTCACAATGCAATTTCGTCAAACGCGAAGGCAATCGACTCTTGAGGTATCACAAATCTATCATTCATTTCATTAAGGGTATCAAAGCTCAAAGCACTGCGATAGCATCCGGGGGCATTAGAGAGGCATATATGAGACCTCGAACCGTGGGAAAGGATGGCGGATTGGAGTTCGGTGAGTCGACCAAAAGGTGCATCCAATTCTCTAAAGTGGATAATCGTGCGCATTTGAACAATTTCCGGGTATCGAATATGCCTAATCGTGATGAAGATGGAACGAAGTCGGCCGCTGGACGCAAGTCCAGGCTGTGGACGGTTGATAGAGGACTCCTTCCATGGGGCTGACCTCTTTGGAGAGGCTCAAAGGCCACAATCGTGACCGGAAGGCGGAATTTGGGCCAGGTAGCTGAATGTTGAAAAAACCCCGAAGCATTTGTCTCAACGCCCTCTCTTCTTACAGGCACCGACAACAACGCTAATATCATCCATCTTCCCTAGGTTATTGTCAATAACATGAAACGTGACAGTAGGGCTAAGGAAACCTACCCCCTTCGATGGCCAAGCCCTCCTCGATAGCCTTCTCCATATATGGGCTCTCTGCAAATGGATCCTGAGCGATAGCCAGCGCAGCTTTCAGCAGCTCTCTAGCTACGAATACCATACGTTCATCTGCCAGGTGGGCTGGGGGTGCCCATTCGATATCCTTCTCCTCGAAACGTCCTTCGTCCCATTTCTTGAGGCTGTCGAGCGTGATCGTCAAGACCTCATGTTCCCAAAGATTATCGAGGACTCCGTCAGACACAGCCAGCACGAGGTCATCCTCCTCAAGTTGAACTTCAGAAAGCACTGCATCCTTCCGTGGTGTGTCCACACTATTTGTACCTAGTTGCATAGGACAGTCGAACCAGTGCCATTGTTCGGTAGTTCGAAACAGGACCTTTTCCTCGCTCGGACGTATAACAAGCACTTTGCAATCCCCCAAGTTCGTGACGTATAGCAAAGGCTTTGCATTTTCTGCATTGTCACCAGTAAAGTGTAAAAGCGCAGTCACGGTCGTTGTGGTGCCCAGCCACTCATTCGGTGAGGTCGTCGCGCGAATCGTCTCCTCGTAAGCTCGTTGTAGGTACTCGACCGGATCTAGTTTTGAGGTTTTGTCGACTTCTCGTTCGGCCTCCAGGGCCCAGAAGTGAAGCAATAATCGAGACCACAGCCTGGTTTGATCGAGGAATATGTCAGCGATGAAATCTTAAGTGGCACGGACAGGAGGTTGATTGTCGTGCACTTACGCAGCATGGCCCCGTTCTTTGGTAGCCCACGCCCCCACGCCATCATTTACCCCGATGAAATTGTCTGCAACAAGCACTGCATCATCACCGTTGTTTAGCCCGCGGACCAGTTCACCCCCGACGGATAATCTCTTATCCTGACTCTGGTAGTGGGTGGTCAAGGGGTCGGAGAAGGAGGACGACGGCGGAGACAGGAAGGGTGGGGGAAACGGGCGCGAGGGCCGTTTGGCGCAGAGAGCGTAGCCTGTCTGGAAGCAAAATGGAGACCTTGAATGTGGATAACGATCGGGAACCGGGGTGGTGATGCCGTAGGAAGGCCAGACGGCGGCTCGATACTGCCGCACAGGCGTTCTGGGTCGGATTAGCCTCCTAGAGCTTGTTGTACGCGCTGCGGTCCACTGTGGGCTGCGTATCATCAATAATATCGTGGTAACTGTATCCTGAGTCACCATGCCCGCGTGAAATAAGACATGCACTCTCTCAGCGCACTGAGATTGCCTCGCGGTTGGGGGGAAGTGCTTCCTCTCTTTTTTCTTTATCTCTGGTCCAAAAACATGGTGAGATTAGAGTTGGTAAGCCGAACGGAGATGGGTGGCTTACTATGGCTTGAGCGCAGCCAAACACCCACTAGAGACAATGATCACAGTAATATGTAGCAGAACTTGCTCCGAGAGCCAGTCATTGCGGAGTTTGATTGCATAAATTTCATTATTTGACCAATACGATAGATACATCACTATCGCCTCCGATTTGCCCCTTGAGACCCCCAGTCATCCGTCCCTGCAAGTGACCTTCATCGTCTCAAGAGAAAATAAAAGGGGAAAAAAAAGAGAAACAGAAAGAACGGGCCTGCCAGCTCAACTGAACTTGCCATGTTAACTCAGTACCTTCAGGCGCGTCGAGTGCTCGTGGCGGCGAACTGGCGCTGCTTGCCCACTACTTCTTCGAACAGCTGCATGGCGCGGTGCAGCTCCGTGACGAGCTCATAGTGGGCAACTTCGCGACTGACCATCGCCAGCCCTTCAAAGAAGGCTCTTGCCAGACTTCCGCATCTGGGGCCGAAGTACTGCTCGCCAGCACCCTCATGGCGCTTGGCCTGCACGATGCACAGGATGCGCTCGGAGCAAGGGCAGGCTAGCACGACATCCATTGTGCAGTCTGCCGCGCAACTGCAAGATGAACGGCATATGCACTTCTTCTCTTTGACGAAATCAAGAAGGCGGCGTCTGCCGTCGTCGCGTCTGATGTCTCCGACGCTCCTGCCCTCGAGCTTCGCCAGGGTCGCCTGACGGTTGTCAAGGACGTTCTCGCGCTGCCAAATTTCTGGCTGAATTGAATCGCGGTCGATAAAAGGAAGTTCAGTCGTTGGAAAGTCATCGGTAGCCGTCACCTTTGGCATGATAGTCAGGTACTTCTCCGACATTACGGTGATAGTTTCAACGCCCGGCATCTGATACAGGTAAACGAGGCCTCTCCACTTCAGAACGAACGGATGGGTATCGTCGGAGACAATCTTCAAGGTGGATGTACGATAACCGATAAGATCGTGCGCAGAGAAGCCGGTGATGGCAAGCTTGTCGGTAGCATGGCGAATGATCGAGTCCTGGTGCTGTTTAACAAGGTCGTAATCAAGGCCGCTGCAAATTTCTGGGGCGTCCAGGACGTCCTTGAATGTTATGAATATGTCGCGGAGATGACTAGTTTCAGGAAGGGTGAACGTTTCCTTAATGAGCATGCGGCGCAGGTTAAGGTCGAAGTGACTACAGAGCTCAACGTTGGCAATCTCCATAACCAGTCTCGCATACAGAGAATAATAAAGCTTCTCGGTGACCTCGATGAGTTCAACAAGAGAATATGTATTCACAACCTCTTCTGCGTCCTTGAGGCGAGCTAGAATACCGCCAGGAGCGTCGTCTAACTGTGAGGAGGGAAAGCCACTGATCAGTTTTCTTTGCTGATCTACAAAGTTCACTGGAAGGTATCAGGGCTCTTTCTACTTACCTCTACGCCATACATCCTGAGTGCCCAAGCGAGGATTTTGGCAATGGTGTAAACCTTGGAGAAGACGCCGATGACACTGCCAAATTTCTCTGCAGTCGCCCCGCCATAAGGATTGTCGAGAAGCTGCTCACGGGCAGCGAAAGAGCGCCATTCAATTGAGCCGATGGTATAAGGAAGAGTGGGAAGCTCGATCGGTGGCATCCGCTGACTCTATGTTAGTTTCTTTTCCCTCGCTCTGTTTGGCAAACTGCCTGCTAAGGATACCGCGTCCACTCACAGCTGAAGCGTAAGAAGCTTCGGTACTGTCTGAACCACGCATGTAAGTAACTTTGACAGTGCTAGAAGTACGCATGTCGTAAACTTCGGCACTGTCCGAAGCACGCATCGTGCGAGGCTCGAATTTTCTCTTTTTCTCTTCGAGCATCTCTTGAGAGTACTTGTAGAAGCCGTCCTTGTGTTCGCCGATTTTGAAATCGTCATCCAAAGAAGGTTGTTTACCCTTCGACTCGGATGAGCGTCTGCGGAATACCTTCTGCAAGGCAGACTGCCAGGAGTGAGAGCTAGAGCTTGATCTACGCATGGTTGGTAGAGAGCACTGCGTTGTTAATGAAATTGCGGGTCAGCAGTCAAGCCGCGTGGTTGAGCACTGAGAAAAGTGCGGCTGGGTATGTGGTGAGAACTGGATAGGGAAGGTGAGTGGTGTTGATGTGCTGAGTGATGTGCTCTGCTTCTGGTCAGTGAATGTTGTCCCTGAGCACCTGGTGCATAGATCCCACTTCACTGTGAAAGACATGGCTGAGTGTCTATAACTACCATCAGAGATGATCATAGAAAGCTTTCTTGCATTAGACACCCTTAAGAAGCCACTCATTAAGTTACTGAGCATAAAACAGTCATCATATTGCTTCACAGCACAGCGGAGGAATCGATATGTGAGAACACTACTGACCAGTAAGTCTTGTCTAGCTACTTCTATCCAGAAAAACTGCAAGATATATAGCTAGCATCAGTATAATTACTCTTCCAGTAGTGATAAGGAGACTATAAGACTACATGAATAGACAGGGCTGTCATCAACTGTTCATGGTTGCCACCTTGGATAAAATAGACAGGACCATACTGTGATTCATGAGGCAGAGAAAGATGAACGATGCACGATGAGTATCATAATCTATTAACAACAGAGGATGGTCTCATACAAGGGCTATGAAAGAAGAGGATCAACTTCAATAGCTGAATTCTGTGTAACAAAGGCATATGGAAGAATAACTTCTGCAATCTTCCAGATGGCTTTGTTAGCCCTGTCGACATATTCCGACGATATACACGCACACTCTCTGAAAGAAAGAGACTGGAGGGAGAATCATTAGCATGGCCAGAATTGCGAGACGAAGGGCCAGCTTCTGGAAAGGGTGAGGCCTCGAGAGAGAAACTTACTTGTAGGTTTGATAGATTTCTGACCCATTCAAAGCCCTCGTCAGACGGGTTGTCTGGCAACTGCTTACCTTTTTGCTCTTCTATTGGATGGCTAAGTAAACCGTGGCAATTCTCCAGCCAGAGAACTTCGAGCTTCGCACCAGGTGCCAGTCTCGGCCTTTCTATCACCGCACCGTTCTTATCCTTTTGAACGCCCCCAAGCCAATTCAAAAACTCCGGCTGGGCACCACGGCAGGTCCTCAATTTCAAGACTCTCAGCCTAGGATTCTTCGTCACAAGCATCGCCAACTGCCATGGCGTGATGCCTGATCGTTCCAATATCAGAGTCTCAAGGCCGGTGACCCCTACGTCCTTGGGGTTCCCTATGCCCGCTAGTAAGTTCCAAGCAGTGCTACCCGGCGCAGGATAATACCAAGCGGTTGGCCTCATCGGCCCATCGCGGATATGTGGATGCTCGAAACGCAGTGCCAGATAGCGCAGCGCATGTCTACATCTGGTTCCGAGCGCTTTTGCCCCGTCGACATCAAGATCGTAGGCCATGAACTCAAGCTTGACCAACGAAGGCCCGTATCGATCCACCAGTCGCGCGAGAACTTTGTTCTGTGCTTGTACCGTCTGCTCCTGAGCGTCTTGTGGGCTTATGTCCCGTTTTATTTGCAGTTTGCATTTAGCATTTGGCTTTCCGCCGAATCCTTGTTGTGCATAGATGCCTGGTTGGATCACGGAAATTGTATAGTCACTCCTGGAACCATCGTTCTCACGCGATGAAGAAAGTTGATCGGGGGTAGCCCAGCCTGCCTGAAGTAAAGATATCATGGAATGGACTCGCTTTTCAAACACTCCGACGCGAAGACGCCTGAGGCAAAGGGCGTGAGACTTGAAATTCGCTCGAGATGTTTCTCCAAAGGCAAGGAGAGACTCAAAAGGTAGGTACGCCAGGATGGAGAGAAGTACCTCCAACGGTAGGAAACTGATCTTGTCCGACATATTGAACCAAAGTATTCTCGAGCCCGTCAACGAACACGTTCGCGATCCGTGAAGTTGTCACCGTTCCAACTTTACCAGGTTTCCTTGTTTGTTCCTTCAGCAGCGAGCAATGTAAACACAACGCCTTGAAGCACCGAATAATTGCTCCAAGAGATGTTGCTTAGGCGTAAACGAAGAGCATCTAATTGGCTATGTAAACAATGGTAAGTTCAGCATACGACGGATGAATGACCTGAGGACTTCAACATCAATAAGTCGTCTCACAGAATGATGATGCCTCGACCAAAAAGAAAATAAACAGAAACGCCTGCGACTTTATTGGAGAGCTTACCTGGAGGAACCTGATCGTGGCGTCAGACGCAGTATGGTGGAAATTATGCCAGTGGACGCCTTGATAAAGATCCAGTGCTTCTATCTTGGCGTTAATCATGGCACAGATTATGGTAGCTGGTGAGGGATTTCAATGACCTGAGTGAGCAGAATTTGGGTACTCATTCAATATCGTAAGTGACCAAAGGTGAACCTCCAAGCTGTATCGATGTGCAGTGCTCCTGTTTCTTGCAACGCGACTACAGCGGAAACTTCCCAACCTTCTCACTCAACCACCCCTTTCCTTTATCTGGAGTAATCTGGTTCTCCTACCTTGTCCTTCTCCATCAATATCCAATCCTGATGATATATTCTCCGAGGAATCCTCGACTTTGGGATGGTCCAGGAATGTGCCAAATAAGACAAAGAATGATGACAGTCTGTATAAGGCAATAGGGGAACAATATGCATTAGACGAGGCAACCAAGGCCATGCAGGTTGGCTTCAGTCTTCATAGACGCTTCGAGTCTCAATTTTGGAACTCACTCTCGCTTATTTATGGGATTATGTGGCATAATTGATAACTGGCAGCGCACCATGATCGCTCTTCAAGTGGCTACGTATTTTTCACATGAAAAGGGTCGTATAGCTGCAGAAAGCGGAGAACAAAGCAGGAAATGGACCACGATGCTCTCGTATGCCCATCTAGCACAACACTGCACGCGCTGGTTGGACTTGGGCTGATCGTGTGGGTGATTATTGACCCCTTGCGAAAAGTTATCGAAGAGAATGCAAGAGCAAACAACGACCGTCAACTTGGCCGAATAGAAATGAGTGTAATCACCCGAATCCTGTGTTCCATATTTCTTCCGGATTTCTTCTTTTTCTAAAACAAATCCCCGAGACATGGTTCTATGTTTTTGATTCTGCCACGAAGTCTAAAGCCCAAGTAGGGCAGGCCATTTGCTGCGCAGAACTGCGGCACAGCGATCAGAACCCTTTCAGTCCTGACAGGCTAACTGGAATTGTGGTTAGAGCTACTAGAAAGGAATGCACAAGCGCGGCCAGCCTTCTCCAATGGGCGAGTCGCTCAGTATTGGCTGTAGCTTGTGACAGATATCTGAATCATGCATCAGCGCTTTTGTGTTCTTCCGTCAGTGACCGACACAGATCTGATCATCTGCTCCACGGGTATACCAATGATACGTCAAGGCACCAGATTGAACTGCATGCCCGTTGCGACTCCGACCCAGCCTGTCGGTCCCATATATCCAATCGAAACATTAGCATCCTGCGGCTTGCTCGGCGACGCGACCAAGGGAACGTTAGGCGTCATTGGTTGGATATTCAAAGCGCCCAGATCAAATGATTACAGCTGCCAGGGTGCCGCTCTCTAGGCTACTGCCTGACACATGCTAGTCTACTGGTCGCAAATCACAATTAGTAACTTGGCAGTGAATCAGGCATCTGCTAGTTGAACCTGCAAGTCCGTCACTTTTCTTCGGTGGTATTCGATTGAGCAGTTTGGAATCTTCGCTGCCGAACAATTTCGCCCTGCCAGTGCCATACTCTCAGGGATACTCCCTGCAATAAGAACGTTGTCACACGTGTTGGCTGTGATTCGAGAGGCTCACATCTACCCTAAGAAAGTAAGGACGACAGAGACCAACAAGCAGCAGGGGCCCGAAAAAGATCCACAAGTCTCAAAAGAGAAACCAAGATAGCGGTGAAGTCTGTTGATACGAAGAACCCAGGATGATGATCAGTCTTCATTATTGCCAATTGGATATCCACCTCGTGCAGATTGACAGATGCAGCTGCAAAAGGGGGAAAAAAGCAATTACGCCTGAAACCCCGGCAAGAATGTTATCAAATCTTTTGAGACAAGTCAAATCCTCAGACACCCCCTTGCCTGTTGCTGAGACGGCCAAATAATCGTACGATAAGGTGCTCTGCGTAACTAGTGAAATTGTATGTGCACTTTGCTTGTTCAGCTTCAAATGCTTCGTACTGCCTTCGAGCCGTAATATACAACAAGAAACACGATTGACCGCGCTATCCATGAACCCTGAACGTACGACCGCTGGCCGTCTTTCGCTCCCGCTCCTCGTTTTCAGGTCGAGCTCTGTTGAGGACTGTTAATTGTTAGCAACGAACTAGGCCGCGGTATCCATTGCGACTCACCTTGGAGGAAGTCTGCTGTCCTCTTACGCATTCTAGTGTGGATATATGCCTATACAGAGTCAGTGCATTGGGGAAGGAAGACAATGACATCATTGAAGCCTACCTTGGACGCCTTGATGTGGTAATGGAAATAGTCACGGAAGGTTTGGATGTGAGAGATATTTTCGTAGCGTCGTTGAGGAGTCAGGTGTCGAGGGAAAAGGACTATGAGCTGTCAATCAAGGCTCGCAACACAGGCAACGATAATTGCTTACCGAAAGTGACATAACTCATTTTACCGTCCCCAGCTGTCTGCAGACCGGGGACCCCCTGAAGCTCCAGCGGAGGGTCGCTGCGGAAGAGCACTTGGGGCGCATTTTGCAACGTCACCACTCGTCTTCTCGCGTCGACAAACTCCTGTAAGAAGACCTTGCCAAAGATACGATCCGTCTCTTCGCGGAAAACAGTGCTAAAGATCACTGTGACCCGGTCATGACTGGCCTTGATGTAGATCGCTTCCTCTTCCCGGTAATGAATTGCCATCAACTCCCCACCTTCCTTGACTCCCTGGGGTGCGGACTCCGACGTGTACCTGGATGCCTCCTCTGACAACTTCGCGAATTCGTCGAATGCCCTTTCAAACGGAGCAGCCATGGCGTTACGCTTCAGCAACGCAAGCCGCATGATAAGCTCGTCCCGAGCTTCCTGCTCTGCGGGCAGGTTCTCCAAGTCAATCTGTACCGAGAAGTCATAGCCAGGCTCTGGTGTGACGATGTAAGGACCATATTCTCTTTGCAGTACCTCCTGGGCACCGTATTGAACCAGCTCTTTGAAGCATTTCACGTGGATGGAGATAAGGATCTTGGTCTTCGATTCTGGCGTCGACAGGTGGAACGTCACTCCGTCAAAGTCAGAGACAACTTGGTCAATTGAAACCGGCGCACCTCTATTGCAACAAGCAGAAAAGCCAATTGTTAGCTGGTGTCGTAAAGGACGGGACCTGCGTATACCAAAGGAGGCGGGGAAGGGACAGCTATACCCGGAGAACCGCTCCGTCAGGAGGTTCTGAATGAGAACGTTCTGATAATCAAGCAAAAGCATGACGACCGACGGTGTACCACAGCTCAATTAATTCCGATAGCAAGGGTAGTATCTGTCAGGCACCTGTAAATAGTCAACCAAGTTGATGAGTTGGGTCGATTGGGTGCCTGGGGGGGAAATGACGGCAGGCGGTGGGGATTTGTCCGGGGTGGTCGCTCTCGCCGCCCGTAGTTTTTTTCTGGCGCATTTTGGCCTATCGATAGCAGTCAGTCTCGGAGCTCTTAAATTTTCCTTGCTATCGACTTGGGCATTCCAACGATGGTGAAGTCATATTTGTATGTGCAGCTTGTTCGGAAAATTCGTGCATGGCGGAATCTTGAACGCGAGGAGCTAATTTTTATAGGAAATTCGAGCATTCGAATACTTTCGGGCTCGTTGCGTCGGGTTCGTCGAATGCGATTTGGACCCGAGACGATGATCTCGCTGGTACTGCGCGCCGCACAGGCGCGGGAAGGGCCATTGTCGGTGCCGGTGAGGAGGTTCTCTGCTGGGACGTCAAGAAAGGCGACTTACTTGGACGGTGGCGCGACACATCCTGCAAATCGCAGGTGACCGTGATCACTCAGAGTAAGACTGATGAGGACGTTTTCGCTGTCGGGTAGGTCTTTTTCCCTTTATCAGAGATGGGACAATTATTTGCTTGGTGCTTACATCCAGGATTGGTTCTATTTAGGTACGATGATGGAAGTATTCGTATCTGGGACTCGAGAACAGAGACGGTGATCATTTCGTTCAACGGCCACAAATCGGCCGTTACTCAACTCGCCTTCGATGCTGCCGGTGTGCGCGTTGCTAGTGGCTCGAAGGACACAGATGTCATCGTGTGGGACTTGCTAGCGGAAGTTGGGCTGTTCAAGCTCCGCGGACACACCGACCAAGTCACCTCGCTCCATTTCCTCAGTCTGTCTTCCGAATTGCTACAAGCCGCTGGACTGAGCGAACACGCGGGATTTCTGCTCACTACCGGCAAGGACTCCTTAATCAAGATCTGGGATCTGGCTACACAACACTGTATTGAGACACATGTGGCCCAATCGAACGGCGAGTGCTGGAGCTTGGGCCTCTCCCCCGACCAAAGCGGCTGTATCACCGCAGGAAACGATGGAGAACTCAAGGTTTGGTCGATTGATGAAAGCGCTATGCTCGAGATCTCACGAGAAAAAGTTGGTTCTGAAGGTCGCAAAATCCTGACGGACAGAGGGACGCTTTATCGGAACGGCAAAGACCGAACGATTGGTATCAGCTTTCACCCGCGCGCTGACTATATCGGCATCCATGGCTCGGAGAAGGCAATAGAAATTTGGCGCATCCGTTCAGCGACGGAGGTACAAAAGAGCTTGGCCAGGAAGCGTAAGAGAAGAAAGGAGAAGGAAGCCCAGCGGGCTGCAGACCAGGAAGGGGCAGTGGCAGAAGTTGACAATGAGAAGGTCGACGATATTTCGTCTGCGCCGGTCACTGAAGTCTTTGTTCCTCACGTCATTGTTCGCACTGGCGGCAAGGTCCGTTCCTTCGACTGGATTCGAACAAAAGCTACAGGCAATCTCCAGCTTCTGGCTTCGACTACGAACAACCAGTTGGAATCGTACAGCGTTATCACTGCGAATAAAAAGAAGGATGAAGATGACCCCGACTACAATCGCAACCTGGCCGTTGACATCCCGGGTCACCGTACCGACATCAGATCTATTGCCCTGAGTTCCGACGATCGAATGCTGGCTTCTGCCTCCAACGGCAGCTTGAAGATTTGGAACGTTCGTACGCAGAGCTGCCTGCGTACATTGGAGTGCGGCTATTCCCTGTGCTCTGCCTTCCTCCCCGGTGACAAGATCGTTGTGGTTGGTAATAAGAACGGCGAACTGGAAGTCTTTGACATTGCATCCTCGACTCTGCTGGATACGATCAAGGCGCACGATGGACCAGTCTGGTCTCTGCACGTCCATCCGGATGGCAAATCGATGGTCAGTGGTAGTGCTGACAAGTCCGCGAAGTTTTGGAACTTCCAGGTGGTCCAGGAAGAAATCCCCGGCACCAAACGAACAACACCACGCCTCAAACTGGTACATACAAGAACCCTCAAAGTTGCGGATGACATCCTCAGTCTCCGCTTCTCACCTGACGCTCGGTTGCTTGCAGTCGCCCTCTTAGACAACACCGTCAAGGTGTTCTTTACCGACTCTCTAAAACTCTTCCTCAACCTTTATGGCCACAAGCTTCCTGTCCTCAATATGGACATTTCCTATGACAGCAAGCTCATTGTTACTTGTTCCGCGGACAAGACAGTTCGACTATGGGGTCTGGACTTTGGTGATTGCCACAAAGCATTCCTGGCCCATGAGGACAGTATCATGGCCGTCGCTTTCGTTCCTACGAACAAGGAGGGCAACGGCCACAACTTCTTCAGCGCGAGCAAGGACCGTGTCATCAAATATTGGGATGGTGACAAATTTGAGCACATTCAGAAACTCCAAGGCCATCACGGTGAAATTTGGGCTCTGACTATCAGCCGTTCCGGTGAATTCATCGTCAGCGCTAGCCATGACAAGAGCATTCGCATCTGGCAACAGACAGATGAACAGCTCTTCCTGGAAGAAGAGCGCGAGAAAGAGCTCGAAGAAATGTATGATAACACTCTGACGGCGTCTCTAGAGCAGGATGAGGATGCAGACGGAGAGAAGACCGAGGCAGTCGATGCTGGGAAGCAGACCGCCGAAACGCTCATGGCTGGTGAAAAGATCATGGAAGCTCTGGATTTGGGCATGGCAGACCTCGAGGTGATGCGGCAATGGCGCGCCGTCAAAGCCAGCCAGCCAAACGCGGCACCACCGGCTCGCAACCCTCTATACATGGCACTGGGTAACATCTCAGCCGAGCAACATGTGCTTAGTGTTGTTCAAAAGATCCCTGCCGCTGCACTCCAGGATGCTTTGCTCGTTCTGCCGTTCTCCAAAGTCCCAGCGCTTTTCACTTTCCTCAATATCTGGGCCAACCGGGGCTGGAATATTCCTCTCACGTGCCGTGTTCTCTTCTTCATGCTGAAGACGCACCACCGTCAGATTATTGCTAGTAAGATGATGCGACCTATGCTGGATAGTATCCGGTCAACACTGCGTCGAGTACTTACCCGTCAAAAAGACGAGATGGGGTTCAACCTTTCTGCTTTGCAGATCATAGGCCAGCAAGTGCGGGAAGCGAGCACCAAGGACTACGTCGATGAGGAAACATGGGAGCAGGAGCACCCACAGGTGACGGGTACAGGCAAGAAGCGGGCATTCGTCCAAATTGCCTCTTAGGGCTTAATCTACGAGCATGTATTTGTTATCGGTGGCATATATGGCGTTGCGATTGTTTACACGATGTTGGTTGAGGTCGGCTACGAAAGTTCTATATCCTTGGAGTTTCGAGAAGGGCAAAAGTTGGTCTGTTAATAGAGTATCTTGATTTCTAGACATATATTCCGAGCCTGCGCGATGAAAGAATTCGATTTTGATATATCAACGCACAAGTGCAAAAGTCGACACATTCGCAACCAAGCGAAAGAGTAGTTTAACCTATCTCTTCAAGCAGTCAGCACAATCCATCAGACATAATAACTGAGATACCGAAAAGCAATGCCACGAGGGTCCAAACCCCGTACCGCATGCCTCCAGGAACAAGAAAGACACAAGCGAAGCAACAAAGCCCAAATCATCAACCCGAAACTCCACTCAGCAGAACCATTATAAGCACCGACGACAAGGGAGACCCCAATTTTAATATGGTAATCTCCTCAAGTCATACCTCTTCCGGCTCTTCCTAAAAGTATCGGTTCAAGAAAATGTTCTCATCATCTAGGAGGTGGTTGTGATTGGGCTTTTGTTTGCTTTTCGAGCTTGTTCTTGTTCGAGGTGGGCTTCGGTTGGAGTTGGATGGAACAAGGATATTGCATACCAATTTTTGATTAGTTATAAGTTGATCTATGACTGAAGTCGTTGGAATGAAAGCTGTAGGCATTGTACAGCTTTCTTGGCTGTTAAGAGTGAAGCTTAACAGCTACGAGGAAAGAAGAAAAAGTGGAAGAAAATCGTTGTTGACCGGAAAATTCAAGTGCCAAGGATTGTTGTGTGGAGCATACATGCTCACGTGATTATAATTGGTATGCATATCCGGTTGACGAAGATATTGCAAAGCGCAACTATTACGGTTTAAAAGCTACATGGTTGGAATAGTGGCGTAAGCTCTACCATCGTGCTCGAGTGGGTGAAAGTTTTATTGACGTTTATCGTCGATTGAAGTCTATATCATTACAGGAGTATGGAGTCGTTTATCGTAGAGATCATCATATCATACAATTCATCAAAGCAATATGTGCGACTGATTCATGAGTCCTGTTTCATCATTCCACAGTTTGAACAAGTCCACCATTCCGTTTCCATGAATGTGCCACATGATTGACAGATCCAGCCCAAGGGTCGCTTGGCGATACTGCTGTCAAGGGCAGCGAGGGTTTCCACAGCCCTAGTTCGGTTCTTAAGAACAGTCTGACTGGCAGACTGGCTTATCGGGCGCTTCTTCTTGTTGCGATTGTCTGTGCTGCAAGGTCCTGTGGTCGGTGGTCCAGATGATGATCTAGTAGCTGAGGGCCGTGGGCGTTCTGAGGCACAAGCATCACAGCACAGGAAGTTGGCTGGATTCTCAAGAGTGCAGGTGGGACATGTCCAAGGTTGTTCGTAAGAGGCATTGTCATACGTGAGATCAATTGGGTCTCGCCGCTCTGCCGAGGTAGTAGGTTTGGTGTTTTCCGCTATAGGAAGAGGAGAAGGAGCTGACCGAGGCCCGGCAGGAATTTCCCGGGAAGGAGGAATGTAAGAAGGCCCATATCTCTCCCTTTCTTCTTCCTGTATCAAATCGATGTAAGCTTCCATGATAGCCCGTTCGTTTGCATCGTCTTCTTCGGCTTTGGTGCGAAACCCATTCCTAGAGGCTTCCTCTGCAAGCTCAACGCTGTTGTCTGCCCCCGAGGCACAGCCTTTGGTCACGTCGATACGCCTCTGCGCGGCATCAGCAATGACTCGGCGCATGTCTGTTCCCCGCAATACCGGGGCACCGCCAAGCCGCTGCCCTGATCCTGCTGTAAGGGTCCGTCTCCGCTCTGCAGCCGCTCTAGCTACGCGGCGCGCCTCGTCTATTGGCATGTTCCGCCCACCCAAGCGTTTACCTTGCGAGAGGAAACCCTCCCCGGTGTAGCCTTTCATGACTAGCTCTTCATGTTCATCGCGTAACTGGTTCCATAAGGCATGGAAATGCTGATTATGTGGTCCATGTACAATATGACAGAGCCTAGATATGTCAATGAATGAGCTCTCTGGAATCTAAGCATCGACTTACTCGTGCAGCATCGTATCAACTACTTGCTCTAACGGTAGGAATTGACGCTCGTCAGAAGGGTATCGTAAACGGAGACATATTTTCTGGCCCGCGTTCACATTCAAGCCCAGGAGGTTTCGTTGCTGTGGGTAGAATTCACACAGTGTCCCTACCCTCCAAGCCCTCTGGCGCATAATTGGTTTGACTAGGGAGGCTATTTTCCGGAGCATCAACAAAGCCTCTGCTTCTCTGGGCCGGTGTTTGTCATGTTGGTACTCGGAGACCAACGGATCTAGTTCGCGCATATCGATGGCAGTGAAGAAAACTGGGTCGACTTGAAGATAATCGGACGAGGATATCGGGAAAGCAGGACGTGAAAATGACGCTTGTTGAGTTCTCAAGCTCTCTCAAAGAGAATATATGGCTTTTGACAATGATTCCATATATCTCTTTATGTAGAGCAGATGAGAAATATCTGTTAGGCGCGGGTGTACAAGCCTGTCCAAAATGGCAGCATGAGTTCCCCGTCCCAAAGAGATATCAATGAAAATAGATTTTCACTACTTCTATGTATTCAGTGGACTCCAGGATAGTGTGATCATGTCGAAGGGCCTTGCTACTTTATTCTTTGGATTGATAATCAGCGGAAGACATTAGAATCAATGCTGCCTTCGATCATAATCACGTGCAAGGTTCACACCCTTCCCTGAGGCCAAGAAGTGGCTGTCAGGCATCACAGAACCAAGTGAGGCCTGTAAGACGCTCCTGAAGAAATAGATGGCCAACCAAGGGTTGAGAAGTTGTGGCAATTTCGATGCACAAAGCAGCCGCTGAGATGTACTACAGAGGCTAGTACAGATATGGACTAGTTTACATGAAGTCAAGAGTATGTGATTTAAAGAACTTAGGTGGGGATCAATATCGTCTGCAACATTTCATGGTAAAACCACTTATAACATGAAAATATCAAAATCATCTAGATGTTCTCCGGCACAATTAGCAGCTTTATATTAAGTAATTCTGAGACTCAAAGCTACAGTTGACATCCTTATCCTTATCCTGCGCAGTGGAGTATATCGTGCTCATGTGACTGCTTGATATACATTTGCTGCACTTATCAGTGGAACTTTTTCGCCTTTATCAACCTCTGTGGCATCAAGCATTTCGCTTCTGATTTCAACTTCAAATCAAGATGACAAGCGATGACCAGTTCTTCTTCGATTATGTGAGTTACTCGGTCTACATTACTGCCAGTTACAAGACTTACAAGGTGCTTCAACCTCTAGCTTGCCTCGATTCCGCATGACGTAAGAAGATACTCGCACGAGGTCGCAGATTCTATCGATCGGCAAGTCGATCACATCGCGACAGTGATTCGTGATACACTCTCACATCAATCATGGCTCCCTCCTGCGATGCGACCTTCACCCAAGACATATCCAGGCTTGCATGCCGCGCGGTCGCAGTCTTTCACTGATCGCGCGTATGACTGGATGATCCGAAATCGAGCATGGAGCGCTGCTTTAATCGCATTTATTGGGACTACCAGCGTCCTGTATTTTGGAAGTAGCAAGCTACATGGACGCCGGCGGAAGGCAAGGAGGGCTGGAAATGGTGCTCGAAAGGAGATAGTTGGTATGTTACCGAGATGGGAAATCTGTACGGGTTGTCCATAAGGGCTAACTACTTGGTCAGTTGTCGCCGGGTCTCCCCATGAACCTATGACCAGGGCGATTGCCACTGATTTGGAGCGTCGAGGCTATATTGTGTTTATTACTGTCACATCGGCTCAAGAGGAGCAGCTAGTTCGGTCGGAAAACCGAATGGATATTAGAGCCCTTTGGCTTGATCTCACAGCAGTGAGCCTCTATTCCTCATTTCAGAAGTTGTACTATTACTGACCTTGTTAAAGACCCCTTCGCCTTCTGAGATCCATCCCTCTCTGCGCGACATACATTCCCTCATTACACAACCGCAATGGCCGATGCCTGGCGTACCTCCCCATACCTGCCAGCTAAGCGGTATTATCCTGGTCCCATCTCCTAATTATACAACTGGCCCGGTGGCCACTATTCCACCATCAGCCTGGGCCGATACCATTAATACTCGACTCCTTTCTCCTATACTAACCACTCAGATCTTCCTGCCTCTTCTGACACTTCGCAACACGAATAGCACCATCCTCGTCCTCTACCCCTCTATATCATCGTCGCTTTCAGCACCATTTGCTGGTCCTGAAGTCACCACTGCCCGCGCTTTGTCAGGATTCGCGACGTCTCTACGGACGGAGCTGCGGCTCTTGCAGCATAAGAACATTGATGTTGTGGAGTTGAAGCTTGGCAACATCGACCTCGGCCCCCAGTTCCGTGATGCGCAGAGTCATGTCACCGGGACTGAGGTCCTCGCATGGAGCGCACAGCAACGGTCTCTCTATGGGCCGCAGTACCTTTCGAGCATTGAACAGCGGCCCGTGGCATCTGCAGGACCCAGTACGGTGCGAGGCTCACCTGCCAGAACGCTGCACTATGCGGTTTTGGATGCGCTGGAGCCAGCATCAAAGGATATTTTTGGGAGAAAGGTGGCCAAGAAGCGGGTCATATACGCTGGAAGAGGCGCGAGGTCATACAGCATTATTGGCGAGTGGGTTCCCGCCGGCCTGGTAGGATGGATGATGGGCCTCCGAGGTGGCCACCCTACAGCGTCGGACAGTGCCAGCAATAGCAGCAGTGAGACTGGCTGGGAAAAAGTCAATGAGGCGCGATAATATTTCTACCTATGTTTGGTTATAATTTGGATACTGACCCCCGTTGACATGCCTTGATCTGTCAAATCCCATCTCCTCTCTATTCTGGACGCAACGGATATCTCATGAGAAGAATACTCAATTGCATCTCAAGTATTATTGGATCGCAGCGTGCACACATACATGCTCATTAATATTACGTATTATCCTATGTACCCACCACATAATACCCCTACTAAACTCCGACATACCGCATCTCAGGAACGTTCTCCTCCTTGTCGTAGACCGACCTCTTGATCATTCCATGGGTCAGCCTTCGCCTCAACCAAATAGCAGCCCACGAGAGAATGAAAATGACCAGGATCGCTGCAAAGATCCCAAAGCAGTAAGCCGTCACGCGACCACTATGCTCGCCGTCCGGACCAGGATCCAAGAACGAGTAGGTGTAGAACCCCTCAGTGTGGAAGGTCAAGTACGCGAGCGCGACATACAGCAGGAGAATCAGCACCAAAACCGGAAACGCCAGAAGCGAATGTGGGTTCGTGGTGGGAAGGATGATTTCCAGCAGGGCCCAGAGGGAGTTGAGGCCATGCTGGGAGATCTACAGCACATGATTTATAGCGTTAGCGACACTCGACACTCGACACTCACTTTGCAACTTTTACTTTGCGATCAATTGTGGAGAACATACATTCGACCAAGCCTCAAAAGTCCGCGTATACCACGGCGGCTCGAACAGAATCGCCCAAAACACGATCGTCACGAGAAACGGAAAGGTAGTGATGGTCGTGTAGAAAATCGCATGCAGGGCGCGCAGCGCACGAGGCAGTCTGTCGAAGAGCACGGAGCGCCCCGTGCGTGCGTAGCATGCGGTATGGATTGCCGCGACGAGATAATAGAAGCCCAGACCCCAGTACGTGAGCCAGGTGAAGTAGCTGAAGCTGTGACCAATGGCGTCGGAGTCGCCGTGGGTGCCGTCCCAGCCCCAGATGAAAAAGATGGTGACGAAGATGTAGAGGGCGATTAGGGCGCGGAGGAGAGCGAAGGGGAGAGGGTTTAGGAGCCAGGAGGTTTCGTAGCAGTGGCGGGAGTCGAGGGAGGAGTCGACGCCGAAGGAGGGTTTGGATAGCTTCATGTTGGTGACGGCGGCGGTGGTCGTGCGCGCATGAGGATGGGATATTGTGGGGGAAGAAGGTGAAAAAGGAGTGGAATAAGAGTTTACCTAACGGTCATTCTGGGGTTTATTCAAGAAAATTTCCGCTAGGGAGGTTCAGACTTCAGAGGCTGAGCTAAATTTTGTTCGTCGTTCCTAGTGCTGCCATTCCAATGTTTTTGTTCAAACCATCTACGAAAGTATTGTACGTAAGTCTGCGCTGTGGATACGTGGATTCAACCTAACCGAAGGCTGATGGAGACCGCAACTTGACTTTTTTAGTGTAAAGACTCCATACCTTACGCACCCTCGGCTGTGATCCGACTGTATGGAGGCGGGGCCTAATTTCGTCCCATGACACCTAAAATGGGTTTGGTACCAGTTAAACTGTTTTTCTGTGAACACTGTTTGACTTTCTATTCGGTCTGAAGCGCTGCTGCTTTTCGCTCACTGAGCTTGCCAGTTCATCACTGGAGAGAGTGCATGCCCTGATTGCTCCCTGAGCAGTCATGGAGCCCTCTAGAACAGAGATAGAGTATGATTCATTATTCACCCTAAGAACCACATGACAGCTAATTGTTAAAGCAAAGGCCAGGCATTTATTCCTTATTTTTTTAGGGGTGGCAGGATAGATTGCGCTTTGTCCTAATAATGTAGAAGGATCTATGACCTATAACATTTTATTGACCTATAATATTAGGGATAGAATATACATTCAAAAATAATCATAAATAGTGCAAGCTTGTTAGGCTGAAGTATGCTATTAGAAATTACTAAACTGTACACCAAGGTTTTACTGTTGGCTGACATGGACGGGCAGTTCAGCACTTCAGCAAGGTCTCAAGTTATCTTTCAGACCTTGGCATATTTTCAGACCTCGTTGAAATTTAAGTCTGATTAACACAGGCCTACAATCTCTAGACTAGGTGTAATACTAAGTAGGGATTGAATCATTATATGGTAGGGATATCAAATGATTCAAATCGTTATATAGTAGGGATTCGAATCGTCAATTCGTCATATAGTAGGAATATCAAATGATACAAATCCCTCGTCTACGATGATGATTCTAAGCAGGTAAAATACATGCTTAAAAGTTCAACAAGGTCTTGACTATTTTTCAAAGCCTTGCTAAACCTTACTACCACTTTAGCTCATCAATGTCTCAGGATACTAGGGTAATTTGAGACCTTATTGAACTATTCCGAGACCTTGCTGAACTGTAACCCAGGCTGACATGTACCTCAGTCATAGATAATAATACAACCAGACTGCCCAGACTCCAGAGGGTCAGAATCCTCCTATCATCTCAGTGCTCTCTGATAGCGAGGGCTTTGCCACTTTCTTTAGCCATTACCCTCAATTCTTCAGTATGTGCTCTAACCCTAATTGTAGTCCTTCTTCCCCCAGGGGTCAGCATGAGTATCAACAGAAATAGGAGGTCATCCTTAAGGCAGGCAAATCTTGAACATGGAATTCTTATATTAGGAAGAGCCTTATCCCCTCTGCCTCCCCATGTCCCCTGGTATGGCCTAAGGAAGCTTTTGGGTTTCAGTCAAAAAGTCTAGGAGCCATGGTTTTTCATTTCCACCACACTTCAACTGGGCATTTATAAGACATTTTCTTACCATTAGCCCCTTTATCTATTCATCGCTGATCAAGTAACTGAGAATGAACACTCATCTATGAGACCCCACTCCGTGCCTCAGAATGAATAGTTTTGCCGTTGAATGGGGTACCTCCATGTTCGCCAATCTCAGTCATTATAACAAACTCAGGGAACTTATCGGGACCAAGGTTCCAGGAATTTTTGTATAGGGTAAGGATCTGATTTAGAACTTAACAGTTTAGCAGTATTTATCACAGCAAAATACCTCTCTCAGTTCAGGGCTCTTGGCGGATCTATCAGAAGGATCAGAATCGTCAGATCCTGAGGGAAGGAGTGAATAAGAGAGAACTGTAGAGTATACTACAAAGCAGAGAGCGACAATCACTCCCAAGGACATATCTCTCAACAGCTATGTATAAATACCGTGGTGCGACTCACTCTGGCAACATATCCCTCCACATATCCTTTCCTTACTCCATAGTCACAGACTTTACTTCAGCAGCATCTTCCGTGATAATCATGCTCTTCCTCGCGTTCCTGCTGTTCTTTGGTACCCTATTGATAGTACATGGGTTGCCAATTGACAGTGCCATTGATGCCGACATAGATTTCTCTTACAACGCTAGCCTTATGGTGCCTCTCCCTTCGTTGAGCCGCCGATCTCAGGAGACGGATGCTGAATGCGCGTATATTCATGTAGAAACTCACGTCAGCAGAGCTCTGCCCATACTGGACCAGGGTCTTGATTTAGCATACATGGTCAAGCACCTCGCTTAAAACACTTCACTACCTGTACCATCGTTGCTTGGGGTTCAATCAAGGTGAAGGCCCACACTCCACTTAAGTAAGGCTCCACTTCAGCCCCTCATATACAGGACAGTTTACTCCGTACAGAAGGTCGTCGCGGTGTAGCAAGAAACTCGGGTCATGCCCAGTTCCCAGATCAACAGGTTGACTCACAAGAACATCCGGCTGACAGGCCGAAGCCACTGGACTGGTTGAGGCTTATATCTCGACTGGCCCCTGATTCCTGAACTTGGAGAACCCAGATCTGCATTCATACACTACGCATACCCATCCTCTAGCAGGATCAACTTACGATGATCCCAGTTACATTGCTCCCGCCGTAAGTGATTAGCCAACAACAAAGGCGAGACAATGAAGTACGAACGAAGGCCCATCAAGGTCAGAGATCTAATTCAGCGTACATATATGGGTATCCAACTGATATCTAGCACATACGACCATAGGGTGTGGAAAACAGGGCTTCCCGTCCGCTCAGCCGTACTTAAGCCACACGCCGGCCGGTTAGTAGTTGGGTGGGTGACCACCAGCGAATCCCGGCTGTTGTATGTTTTTATTTTATTTATTACCTTTTTTTAAATCTGCGTTCCTTGTTGAAATACGCTATAACGAGTAGAAATGACCTGAGAGCTCCTGCGCTGACCAGACGATACAGTCGCTAAGCCTTCAAGTCGGAAACCTCACACTGCTCTACAATGAGCACCGAACGCGCGACTCGTCCGAAGGGCCAGGGACGATCGCGGATCAACTCGATGACCTGGGAACCTTGGACACATCTGAGCAACTCAATGCACATATTCACATATGAGCTCCCGCAAAGCAGAACTACTTGTCCACTACTTTGACTACATCTTCCGTTTGCAGTATCCATATTATCAAGATAACCCTGATCTCGGGGGCAGAGGGTGCCTTCTCTGGCTACCACCCAAGAAGGGCCTGCTACAGGAGGCCGCACTGAGGCTCGCAGCCTTGCATGAACACACCGGTCCCATCCCAAGACGATACATACGGAGCGAGAGCTCCTAAGATATCACACTAAGGGCATGCGAGAACTTTGGCGGGTATTAGCTCGTCGAGAAGTCAACGGCTTTGGGACGTATCCTGAGCCTTAATAAGTGATTAGTGAGTGAGTACTCACTAAGCACTCATGTGAGTCCCTTAGCAGCATCCATATCAGGCAATTGGACAGGACTTGCAGAAAAACAGTTCACTTAGAGACTATTGAGGCACATTAATATTATTGGCAGTGATAGTGCAATTCTCCTTCGTAATAGGGTGACATTCAAAGTAATGTGGAGCGCACTGGTCTTGCAACGCTGTAGGACGGGACGGATGACAAATTCTGAGTAGGTCGGAAGACAGAAAAAGCAATCACCGCTGAGGAAGAGATGAAGATGAGCTGCTCTATCTAAGTAATTAGAGGGGCCCAGATAGATAGTGCGAACGGAGTTCTACAGTCGTTTCATGAGCATGGGGCGATCGTGGCAACGCTGTTGCATTTCACAAAGGTTCACTTTCCTGGCAACTGTGTAGGAATACTTGCTGAAGTACCTCTTTGAGGCTTTTGCGGAATCTGCCTTCTGTGTCCTCATAGACGTGAATGGCCATGTCAACTCTTTCCGCAACCATTTGGAACACAATGACCCTCCACGAGGTTGGCTCCCCGTATCTTGGATGGGTCTCCTCAATCCGGTACACGGCAAGGTGTTTTCTTCAGCGAAGCAAAGTTTTCTAAGGATAGATTACGTCGATAGCCCTCGAAGAAAAGATAAGAGCTCACTTACTCTCAATCAGATGGATCCACTCCAAAAGCTCGGATGCTTCGGGGGATTGTGAGCTTCTGATGTTAATGCAACTATACGCGAATCCACACAACCTTGGCCACCGAGCTTGTCTCGAATATCGAAGGAGGCTTCCATGGTTGCAGGAGAAACAAAACCTGCAAAGGCTAGGGGTAACCTTGGCTTCACAAAGTCGTAGGCCAGTAAACACAGAAACGTGAGTGGAAAGGGGACACGATTTCTCGCCAAATGGAGGCAATGCTTATTAACGTATATTTACGTGGTGTGTTCAATATGGCTGCTTGTCTGCCTTTCTTTCGACTCTGTCAACGCAGGTTGATGAAGGTACATGCGGGGCATATCACTGAGAAAGTGCGCGAGTGGCAGACTATCAGTTTATTTGCTAAGTCTGCATAGTCTGCATAGTCTGCATTGGATCTAAACAACAGTTTCGGTAAGGTAATTCGGATAATGTAAGGTCAGCTCAACCCTTTCCTATTGTAGCTTAGCTAAATCCGCCTGAGGGTTCGAAAGCCCGTCAAAGAGTATGGGACCCGGGCACCATTTTTTGCGAGGACTCGTAAAAGAAAAGTTTTTCTCCAGTGAAATGGAAAACACGCTGATCAAATCGAGAATATACGAGACTCCTGCTCTCTGCCCTAGCATGCCTGGACGACCTGAAGATGAAAGGTAGTAGACTACTCCGTAATATTACGGAGCAATCGTAGCCATCATGTTACACTTTGTGGAGATGCAGATTGACTTTTGTGTATAGAAGTCATGGGACC